TATATATATATATACGCATGTGCATATGTATATCCGAAAGCAAACAGTGACGAGGACAACAACAGCGGAACTTAAAGGCGCCCAGAAAATAATATTGTACATAAACTTTAATTAAAGCAAGAAAAAAAGGGCAACAACAATAACATCGGAACAGAAAATAGGAACAACAATAATCAATAGGCGATAAAAAGTTTTGTTATCAGCGTGTTTTCGTCATTTGGCTTTTTGGAATTGATATTGTTGGTTGTTGGCTTGTCTTGGTATTCATTACTGGTATCTTGTTGGCATTTCGACAACTTGTTGTTGCTGCCGCGAGACAAAATACGCGGCAGCGGCAACATCACCGCTAACGGGTGTTGTTGCTTGCGTAGACGCCAACTCCAACGCTGACGCTGACAATGTCTGTGCAGCAGTTCTGCTTGCGCTGGAACAACCACCAGCCAAACTTCATATCCGTCTGTTCCTCCCTGCTGCATAATGGGACGCTGGTGGACGTCACGCTTGCCGCGGAGGGTCGACAGCTACAAGCCCACAAAATAGTGCTGTCCGCGTGCAGTTCGTACTTTCAGGTGAGTGTTTAAATTTTTGTAGAAAGCTAAATATAGGATGCATCCATCAAATTCACATTACTTTTAACAGGCGCTATTTACGACGAATCCGTGTCAGCACCCGATTGTCATACTGAAGGACGTGCAGTACGATGATCTCAAGACGATGGTGGACTTTATGTACTACGGAGAGGTGAATGTGTCGCAAGAGCAACTGCCACACATACTTAAAACAGCCGAGATGCTCAAAATAAAGGGCCTGGCCGAAATGCCAACAGACCCGGCAAACCTCACCAAGTCAGACAGTAAGTCGTCCAGCGAGGCAACGGAACTGCTAGGTCAAGCTGGCGCGAATGTTGTCGGCACGAATGCTGGTGTAGCGGCATCTAGCTTAGGAGCGGCTAGTGGCAGCAGTAGTGCTGGTGATTCGCTTTGGAGCAGCAGTGAAGCGCAGCAGTTCCAGCAGCATCATCAGCAGCAACTACAGCAACAACTGCAACAGCAGCAGGCGCAGCAACAGCAGCAGCAGCAACAACAACAGCACCAGCAGCAACAACAACAACAACAGCAGCAACAGCAACAACAACAACAGCAGCAGCAACAACAACAGCAGCATCATCATCATCATCATCATCACCAACCTCAACAGCAGCAGGCCAGCCAGGCGCAGGGTTCGCAGACGCATCATCATCAACTACGACGAACTCCATCACCGCTAAGTGCTGGCACCTCACCGGCTACGCGGCGCAAGCGCTTGCGAAAGTCTTCGAATAACGGTGAGTGTGAGTTGGGTAAAGAATCGTCGGCCAGAATGTGAATATTTCAAAAGCTGAAGAATGGTAATTTACGCTTGATTGTTTATTGGAATTTTGCAGGCTCTGGTGACCGAAATAACTCGGAGGAGCAGCATAGCAGCTCCTTAGATGCAGCTAGCGCCGCTGGCAGCGCTGCTGGCCTTAGCCTCGCGCAAATGAGCCAAATGTCGTTTGGAGCTGGAGCGGGCAATAACTCTACAGCGGCACTAGGCGGTCTTTCGGGTCACTCGATGCATACTGCCAAGTTGTTGAAAGAGTCGGCGAGCGCTGAACTAGAGCAACAGCCACAGGACTCCGATCTGGATGACGCTCACGGTCATATACATATGCAAATTGTAATGAAATTGGTCACGTTAACTATATATCCATTTGGAAGCATTTTACTGAAGTTCTTACTCTTTCATATTTGATTGCTGAACATGCAGAAGCCCGAAGTGGACATTGGCAATGTGAATCAATCGATGCCTCTGGACATTTCAGGCACTACGACACCATCGGAACACGACGCCCCCAATTCACAATCATCGCACTCGGGTAAGTTTATATCCTAAACTAAAAAGGCTCTGTCCGACACACCATATATACAGTGTACCTTCAAAAATAAATCGTGAAGTAAATTTGAACAGTAAAAACGCCCAAACATTAAAAATTTATCAACTAAACTTGCGACTTATTTTGTAAGTGTATTGTACTTAAATATAATAATAGTACACAGCTCAGCTGCACTAAGATAAAAAACACTGCAACATATAAAATCATACGCTAGATCATGCTTCATTAAGGGGTTGTACTTTTTATTGACAACAGGCTGTTCCTATAAGCCGAGTCGAGGAGCTCAACTTGGTCCCTTCCGTTTTGAGTTTAGTTAATTGATTTTGCTATCATTATCATTATTTCATTCTTCCGAATTTGGTCAACTTGAGATTCTACTGATGTTACTCTGCTACCGCTCATTCATATGTCATGCATTCATACCAGCACATACACATACACATTCACAGCTACACCAACACGCTCACACAAGACACACACAAAAATACGTTCGTTCAAAGAATTTGAGTGCAATATAAAGCGCTTGGAGAAATGAATGCTAAAGCTAAATATGAAACATAAGCATAAAGACTACCGTTTACTGATTAAGTGCGAATAAAAATAATTGTGTTACATGAAAATTAATGCATTTGTATGTACATGTGTATATAATTAACTATTGTGTATACTATTCAAAAATGAAATCTTACCTGAACTTGGGAATGGGAGAGAGCTAGCACAGAGTCCAAAACTAAATAACTGTATTTTACTGATTTGATTTTTTATAATTTTGTCGATTTGATTACTAAACTCTTTTGTTTTCCAAGTGATTTTTGAATTTTCTTCGTAATATTTTGTTATGGGAAAGCATTTTGAAGAGCGGTTTTCGAATGATAATGATTTAGCATTAGCAATCTTTCTACTACTCGATACCGATACCGATACCAATACCATTCTACTATACAAACTATAATATACCTGTTGTCCAATGGTTTGCCCCTATTTCCAATCTCTGATCTTGGCCAATTGATGAGCCCCGACCCCAAGTTGAGAGTAAATTTATAGCGAGTAAATTTCAATTTCAAACCCCAACTAAAGACGAAACCAATCTTACGCTGTCTCTCTCTCTCTCTCTCCCCTTCCCAGGTCTGCAGTGGACAGTTGTTGATTCGAACTATTCGCGCTTCTCGATGCCCGCTTGTCAGTCCAACTTGATTGGCAACGGCAACGGTGGTAATCAAAATAGCGGCGCGAATAGCAATGCAGGCGTCGGTGCTGCCGGCACCAACGACCAGCGTCAACAGCAGCAGCAGCACGAAGCCCAACAACAGGCAACGCAGCAGCAGCAACAGCAGCACTTGCAGCAGCTGCACTATCAGCAACAGCAGCAGCAACAACAAGGGGCCACGGCCGGTCAGGCGTATTCGTCGCAAATTATAACCGTGAATAATCTGGTCAGCGGGTATACAACTGCAGCGCAAAACCTTTCACCCACGTCTCCCAACGAGTCCAACATGGTTCAGTCTGTGTATAGTCAGGGGCCAACACCCACGCAGTCACCTGTTCATTCTGGTGTGGGCGGCGGCGGTGGTAGCAGTGCGGGTGGAAGTGCAAGTAGCGCTGGTGGCGGCGGAAATAGCAGCAGTGGAGGTGGCGGCGGCAACAGTCAAGTGGTAAAACGGAAGCGATCTGTGAACCCACAAGGTGATGAGAACTTTATTCGGGCCCTGGAAGCAGTGCGGACCGGTGGCATTGGTTTCTGCAAGGCTGCTCGACTGTATGGAGTGAACAATCGGACTCTCTGGCTGGAGTACAAGAAACGTGGATACCCTGTGTCAAGGCCCAGCATTAAGGCGCGGGTGGTCAAACAGGAGCCCAATCTTTCACCTTCGCCAACACCATCAACCAATCCTGGCGACGATACGCCCAACGAATCATATGATCATCTAACAGCAGCTGCCGTAGCCGCAGCTCAAACTGCAGCGCTCAATATGCAGATGCCGCCGCAAGCGGATACGCCCACACCTTCGCTGATGTGCACGCCTCATCATGCCAGCGCGGCAGCGGCCTCTACGGCCGGTGGCACTAACACGCATCCTGCCATCGGCGTCATGAGCCTCTTCGACGCACGCTACATGGAGTCACCCACAACCGTGCACACTATGTCCAGGCAGCGGTATATTGATGCAACGGGTGCTGGTTCATCAGCTACGGCCTCCGGAGCGGGCACGATCAACGTTAATCCGGCCGCCGCCATGAATCTACAGAGTATTAACTTCAACTCAATATAGAATACGATTTCAAGTCACATGGGCGTTGTGGCCGCCGCCTCAGGTGTAATGCCTCTGCAGGTGGATCAACTCAGCGGTGGCGAGGTGCACGGGCCAGGGCCAGCCACAATGCTGCAGGCGGCCGCCGTTATGTCAACAAACGAGCCAGAACCAATGAGCATATCAGCCGTGCCCGTATCGGTCTCAGCAATGGGCACTGCGCATAGCGCAGCGGCTACTGCGTTTCTTTTCAATAATTTTGTAACGGTAGCGGCACCACCACCGCCACCACTGGTTGCCAGTACGCTAGCGCCACTGGTTAATACCGGCATGCAATACTTAGACAAATCCTAAGCTCCCGGGCACAGCCGTACAAGGTATACAGGTATTAGAACAACGGCATCTACTAGTGAACTACAAAGATACGGCTTCGGTATGGGAATCGTAATCCTAATCGTAATCGGAAGAAGATGGGTACCATAGCAGGAATGTTTGTAAGCAGAGCCCACTAAGATTTAGTATCCCTCAAGTTAAGCAGATGTGCCGACATACAACAGATATATAATAATTTATAGAACTTAATTCCTTAAGCTACTGTTTCGAGCCGAACATTATTTTTACCATTGTTAACTAAGGAATCGGAAGTAAAGTACTCTTGTATATGTAACCACAATTTATATTTGTACATAAATTTATACAATTTTATTAGTGTTAATCATCAAAAAGCAAATGATTATGTATCGACTAGCTAGCATGTACATACAACTTTTTAAATATAAACTATTTAAAAATGGCCTCATTATTTTGATCATTTATGTAATCCCTCATTAATCCTGGCACTCGTGTTACAAAAGCAACCTTTATTACGCATACATTCTAATTCGTATAATTCATTGTATTATACATATATATATATGTTTTGTGTACAGTTAATGACCAACCAGTTTTTAGTTCAAATGGGTGTTTGTGTCTAGTTGATGGGGAGTGGGTCTGCCGTTAGACGGACAGTGTTTAAATCCGTATAAAATAAACCGCAAAGCAAGTTAACCATCAAATATTTAATAAAACCAACTCAATAATGTTTAATGTATATGTACGTACCAATATTTACATGTGTTAATGTACGAATTCATTTTGTATTTTCGATTATGGTATGGATCTTACGTTTGTAAACCAATCAACCAACCAAATGATCCACATGGAAGCAATAATTTTTATCAGGGACTGTTTTAACATATTCATCACAAAAATCACATCCAAATAATTTCAATGTTGGCAATTTACACACCATTCCAATAATAGTTTCTGTTGAATATATATATTAAATTAGATCACTTTGTTTTTTGTTTGGAGTGCAATTTCACATATATTAGACATATCTGACGAGGGATGCTTGGTTTAATAATTTTGAAATCCTTAATTGTACATAATTTCGATGTACGAATACGATTAAAATAGGACTAAATGGGCAAGCCATATACGCAATATACAAAACTAAGATAACTCGTAACCACCCAAAATCCTAAATGGAGACTGCAGAAAGTAAAGGAAAACGAATAAGAGTAGTGTGTTTTTAATACAGTATATATATACATAATAAAAACAAATAAGTAATTTAATAAAATGAAATATATATACACATATAAATGATAATGTATGTAATTAATAAATAACTTTTTATATTGTCGCGAGGCAAAGTAAAAATTAAGCGTGATTTGTTAGAAGTCATTTATAACGTCAAACTTTGGTAATGCATTTTATTTCCTACAACTAGATGCATAGTGCTACACAAGCCAACAAACAACAAATAATAGAAACAAAAATAAAAACAAACCAAACGAAATGCGAATTCATCAAACATAATAAATATACAAAATAAACAACGCAAAATAGCATAAACAATAATTATGACTAACTCTGTTTCCTACAATTGCAAAAGTACCAATAACTATGGTAGTTGTGTATGTGTTTAACATATAGTTATATGTATACATACAAATAAATATATGCATATATATTACTTA